CCGACTTTGCAGTCAGTCCCCTGCTCCCAAACAGCCCTGCTCGAGCCACCCTTCCTTCTCTTCTGAATCCTTGCAGCAACCGTATGAAGGGCCGTTAGGTGTCAGGCAGCTTGGATGTGAACCTCAGCCCTGCACGCCTTCTCAGCTGCAGCCGTGGGCAGGTCACTTTCCTCTCCTGAACCTCAGTGTCCCCATCTGTCACATGAGAGGGATGGTGTTTTCTTCCCGGGGGGGTCACGAGTGTCAGTGAGTATGTGGAGCCCAGAGTCTGGAAGGCGGGAGGGCTCAGGAAGTGGAGGCTCGTCGTTCAGTGCATTTGTCCGATGGGATAACTATGTCATTGTGTCATTGTCCAAGGCCCCACAGCCAGCTGGTAGCTGAGCTGAGATTTGAGCCCCGCCTGTCTCAGCCAGAGTCAAATGCCTGCTCGTTCTGCAGCCTGGCCTCTTCCGTTGACCTTCCTGTTTGGGGAGGGTTTCTCCTGGTACAGCTCACATCTGCAGGCACCTGGGGTCAGTGCACAAACGCTGTTGCACATCTTCAGTGTACCAGGCACTAAGCAGTGTACCAGGCACCGAGCAGACAAGGCAGAATGAACATTCAGAGCAGTCATTTGATGGGGTGAACTGGGCAGCCCTGAGGATGGAGGATGGATGCTTTGTGCTGTAGGGGTGACCTCTCTAAGAGAGGAAACCATGAGCTGTGTCTGCCCAGAGGAACTGGGGCTGGACAGGCATCGAGGGGAAGGATGTGGATGCCTTGCCACTTCAGTGGGGCATATGGAAAGCTTGATGAGCTGATCGGTGTTCCTTGAATGGAGTTTGCCCAGTGGGTTTGGTCATCATTAAATTGTTGACTCTTGCTAACAATGGCCTGTAATCTCCTTGTTTCCAGTGTGGAATAATTTGTTGGCTATTTGGTGGTGCCATCAGGAATCTCGGAAGCCTAGCACGTGTAACTAAATGGCTTCAGCTACTCCAGGTATGGCACGTACCTCCACAGATATCATCTATGGAGAGCCTTAAAAATTCACTGTAGTTAGGGTGTGTGTGTGTGTGTGTGTGTGGTCGCAGAAAAAGAAAATAAAACAGAATTAGTGTCAGCCAGAACTTTGTTTGAAATGAGAATTTAAGACTACTTTTTAAAATTGCACTGAGTCTGTCATATTGTTATCACATTAGCTGTCACCAGACTGAATTTTTATAATTATCTCCAACTCACCACTCCCTTTCTCGCCAACATTCTTAATGATCTGAGAGACAGGCAATTAGAGCAGCTGTCTGACTAGCTGATTCCCTTCTAACACCTGGTAAACTCCAGGAGCAGAAATACACGGGGATGTTTGCAGTGACCGAGAGGGGCCACAGGAGCGACGTGAGAGGGATCCAGATGGAAGCCACCTTTGACCTCTCTGCACAGGTGAGGATTCTGCTCGGGGTTCTGGCAGTTCTGGGCAGCGGACCTGTACACAGTGGACTCTCCTTTCTCCCGAGTCCACCTTCCCCCCTGCTGTGTGTGCTCTCAGGCGAGAGGGTGCTCAGATTCAGAAGAAACACCTAAGTGTTTTAGTGGACATAGGCTCAGCCTTCCTGAGTCTAACACCAGCCAACACTTACACAGCACCTACTGTGGGACGGGCACTGCTCGAAGCCCGTTATGTGCACTGCTCGAAGCCCATTATGTACACTCCTTAACTTAATGCTTTGGAAAAACTCGGTGAGAACAGGACCTAATCCATTCTGTGGTCCTTCCTAACAGTAGCAGGTAAATGGGTGGAAGAG